GCGGGAGCGCCGCCGCGCTCCCAAGCGGCGCCTCCTGCTGTCTTTTAAGTTTATTATTAATAGGTATTTAATACTTGTCAGCCTGCACCTTTTATTTCCAGTGTCATGCTAAAAATCCTCTTGGTGTGTGATTCTTTTATTTCTTGACTTGCATACATAATGAATCAAAAAGAATGTTCACCTAGAAAAACGGACTCCAACCAAAAATGCAGAACAGGTTTCAATGAGCTTAGATTTCTTGGTATATTACTTGTAACCCTAAGGTAGAAGTAATAATGCATTGGCTACTTACATGCCCACATTTCTGACCCAAGCTCAGAACAGTCCCAAATAAATATGGGAAGCCACAGTAGTGATGAAACCTAAGATTTCTCAGAAATAGTTTTAAGTGGGAAGCCTCTAATCCTACTTGGATAGTGCTTTTCTGTGGGTTTCTCAGTCTGAGTCCAAACCACAAAGCACCTCCAAAGACTGGGGAACCCAGTGTCACAAGTATGGCAGTAGGTCCAATAGGCTGAAAACTGGAGCCATGTAAAAATAATGGTAAAAGCCAATCAAGGAAAAGATGCTGAGACTTCCTCTTTTGTCCCACAGCTGGAGGAATAAGTAGTTGGACCCTAGGTAGTTTTCCGCTTCTTGGCAGATGGTCGCTCAAATACATCTCGTACCCCAGCTGCCTTCTGCTTAAAGAACTTGGTGTTCTGGGCACTCTCTTGGCCCCATGCTGAGTCGAAGGACGTAGTGTCTTGATCCACAAGGTGGGTGTATTTGGTCCGACCAGAGCGTCCGAAGTTCTTGACCTTAGGGAAGGATGGACGATGAGTTATACCACCAAATACATCATGCCTCAGCCCTCAAAATACATTACTTTTCTCATATTATTAAGGTTCCCCATACCTGCATGACTTTAGGAAGAATGGTCTTGTTGAAATGATCCTCCAGGGTAGGTGCGCTGAAATCTCTCTTGTATACTTCTTCATCCTCATCCTGTAGAAAATAATCTTATCAGTACTCTGATTTTGTTTCCCATATATTCAAATCACAAATTAATAAACTACAACAAGGGATACAAAGAAAGCAGAAGATATTAAGCCTTTCTTCAAGAGCTTACCCCTTCTAGATGAGATGATTTTTTTTTCTTATATTGTCTTTCTCTTTCCTAAGTGTAGACATTTCTTGAAGGTTGACTTATTCTCTCTGCACTCAATGTGCTCATTTACTCATAAGACTTCAACTCTATACAGGCTTCTCAAAACTCCAGTCCTGAATTTTCTGCCTTTTATACATCTTAACTTGGATATTTTATTGGGACTTCAAATTCACATCTAAAGTGAAAAACATTTTTCCTGCCTTTCCAAATCAGCCTATTCTTCCGACTTAACTTTTTTGTTTTTTTTTTTTTTTTGAAGATGACCGGTAAGGGGATCTTAACCCTTGACTTGGTGTTGTCAGCACCATGCTCAGCCAGTGAGCGAACCGGCCATCCATATATGGGATCCGAACCCGGGGCCTTGGTGTTATCAGCACCGCACTCTCCCGAGTGAGCCACGGGCCGGCCCCCCGATTTAACTTTTTTGTTAGTAGGACCAACATTCTCTCAATTACAGATTCAAAATTTGATTAACTTCTATGTACATTCAATCAGCTGCCACATTTTATAAACTCTCATTACCAGGGTTATTACAGTTTTTTTCCTACAGTCTAATGTCACTGCATTAAAGTTTCTTTTCTTTCTTTTTTTTCTTTCTGGTGGCTGGTTGGTCCAGTGATTCAAACCTAGACCTTGGTGTTATCAGCACCAAGCTCTAACAAACTGAGCTAACCAGCCAGCCCTATTAGTGTTTCTAAAACACATATCTCATATCTCTGTGCCTTGCTCAAAAACTTCAGTGGTTATCTACTTTATTAAACACAAC